AACATTTCATACAATTGGTGTGCTCTGGCTGCTCAAGAGCTTTTGTCAGTGACGCAAAGAACTATTGAAATAGTCCAGAATGCTTTTTTAATATTCTGGTAGCAGCACAATGGACAATTGTCGGAAACATCTTCCCAACATTTTGATCAGTAAAAACATTGACCAGATTTGCATGTCCCTATGTAAATGCTAGCAAATACAAACTAATGAGTAGACTATAAAAAAAAAAAAAAAAAAGAGAAATGATGATAAGATAGAGAGATGGTTAGAAATCACTGACAATTTCAATTGCCTGGACAGCTGCATGACTATATAGTCAAAGATGGAAGACTGGTAACAATAGATTAAAATAACATGAAACACTTTAAAACTCCCTTTGAATTAGAAGTTCCAAAACAGTTTCTTTGCAGAAATAAGAGCATCAGTATCAGAGGATCTGTTGCTCTATGTGGCTTTTCAGCCACATAGACATATTGATAGTTCACCAAGAGGTAAAAATGTTTGCGAGGGTTGTTGTATAAGGAAGCAAAGCAGTTATTTGCTTTTCAGCTTTAATAAGTATGAATTCATCACTACAGGACAGTAATCTCTTGCAGTGAAAAGACACAGGCACTAACACCTAACTATCCTTTTGTTAAGGTCTCCAGCTGATTATTTTACTAATGCAGAGGAAAATGATCTTGGAAACTTTAGAACTTGTTTAATAGAATCCATAATAATGCAATTTTTCTCATTCTTCAACATGGCAAAATAGGACAAAATCATCTTACTATTAAAAATACAAAAGCATCTTTTAATCAACCCCTCTGCTTGCAGCAGACTTCCTATTGTTGAAACAGCTTGGAGACTCTGAGTATTGTTACTGCTTTATGGGTCATAAAGTCCAGAATGCTGCCTATATTGTATGAGTCTTGATTGGGTTGGAAATGAAAATTTAACCTTATTCCAGCATATATTTCCAGCACGAGGAAAGCCAGGAGACAATTTTCCTACTGCTGTAGCTGGTATTTAAAAAACAAAAAAGTGTGAAAGAAACTTTTTAATTAACCTGCGTGATGGGCAGGTACATGTCAACACAGCCTGGGCCTCCTGATTGTCCATACCAGGGGAGCTATGGAGCTCCCTTATTGTCCATGTTTTCTCCTGAGGGAAATGGGAGCACATAGGACAGCTGCTGGAGCTGATGATCCAAATCTGTGGCCATGCTGCAGCCTGAATCCAGCCATGGAGGCTGCAGTTCCCTGGCTGTGTGCATTCAGATGGCATAAACCCTACATCACAGAATGTAGGGATGGCAGTAGAGAGGGATGGTATCAGTGTTTCAGATATAATTGGTGGAGGGCACTTGGTTAAAAATTATATTTTCAATCCAGTAGTTGATCTTCTCATACAGTTGGTGACATTTAGAAAAAAAAAGTGAAATTTGCAAAAAGAAAGAAAGGAAGTATGTGACATATATGAAGATGTGATGCCTTGGGGCAACTTTAGCCACACAAATACTGAAAAAGCAATAGCACAAAACTGAATAAATTGTTACATTTTACAGTCACAGTATACGACATGAAAGAACTGAATACTTTTTAAAAATCAATTTTTGCACAATGGAAATGCCATTTTACTTTTGAGGCAGGCAGCAAAAGAGCACTTCAGAAATGGCTGTATATAGAATTGCAATTTAAGAAACAGATGCAAAACTGAAATGCCAGCATGGCTTCTGTCAGAGAAGCAGTATGATTCCCTTAGTCTTCTGTGCTGCAGTTATTGAAACACTAATATGCAATACACTACTGTAATCCATTTCCTAAACAAAATTAAATCAGATATAAGGTCAAAAGTAGACCTTATCAGCAGAATAAAGAACAATTTGGAGCAGAACTAATGAATGAATATGAGATAACTGAGCTTCGTCCAGCAAGAAAGACAATTTAATTTCACTTTACTAGATGTTACTGTGGTAGGCAGCTAGCAGATGCCAGACAATGGATAAATAAAATCTTAAAAAAATATTGTATATTCAGATATTCAGATTTAATTAAAGGTTCAATTATAATTCCCAATTTTCAACCTAAAATATCCTGAAACTGTAAGGGTCATATAATATTTCTGTACCATCTGACCCAATTAAAAACATTTGATGGGAAGTACCTCTACACACAACTGAGAAAAAAAGAGACAAGGTAATGATTTGATGATCGTTTTTCACATTATATTTCTTAAATATACGTGTTTTTCTTGCCAAAGCAATTTTCAATCTTCACTTATATATTACTAGATTATTACTATTACATTGGCTTTAAAAAAAAAACAACCCAAACAACCAAACCATGATAAGTTTGTTCTATTTATGGAAAAGTTTGATTTGTTATATACAGTACATTGCTATGAAAAGTATATTTTAAGAACTGACATTCCCCAGGTGTGGAAATGAAACAGAGAAAATCAAAACCATAGGTTTTTGAAACTTTTTGTACTGCAGAGTGACTCTGTAGAATAACTTTGTGGAATGCTGATACAGTTTGCCACTTTATGTTGCTTGCATTTATTTCATTCAGAAGGGCTCATTTCCATAGACTGCTGGGCAAGATCAGTGTGGGATCTGCAGGCTGAGGTCCGTTATTCTATGAATCATCACAAGTAATTATCTATCCCCTAATTGCAACAATTCCATCAGTGATTTATGTCTGACACTGTGGCCCATCTTACTTCCCCAAAGGAGGGCCACGCTATGGCTGCCGTGCTGGCAATGTACCTGGCCCGGGGTCAGTAACCACTGTCAGCACGACAGATGTTCATACAGGCATTGACATCTCGGCTGTACATGAGCTTGGTGGGAGCCAATGGCAGTGTATCCTTGTCAGCAAAGGGCTTGGGATGGCAATTACATCTGCCTGGGAGCCTTGGCCAGTGCTGGAGGCCTGAGGGCAGCTCTGCGCTGCCTTTCCATAGTGTGTGGTGGTAGCCCAGTAAGCCAGGCTGTACTTCCCAGTCTTGGTAGCTTTAGGCTAAATCAACGCAAACTGCATTCACAACTTTGTCTTCAATGCAAAATGATCACAGGGAAGGTTAGGTGGGGGGAATGGAATAGCTACAATCAGTATATAGACATTTAACTTGGCATAATTATTTTCTTCTCTGAAGGGCTATGTAGCTCTTTTAAAAGGACTTGCTGAAAAAGAACACTGTTTTTTTTCTGGTATAATGTTCAGCTATCTCTGATGATCAGGATAGCTGCTTAATCATTGCTTTTATGTTCCCAAATGAATATATCAGTTATAATATGTACTGGATCCTTTATCAAGTAAATGGCATCAATAAAAACAGTCAGTAAATATTAAAACTTTTGAACGTTATAATCACAAAGATACTCTGTGAGTTTATGGGTGGCTAAGTGCACTTTCACACATAAAGGTTGGGGAGGACTTGAGTGTTTGTTGATGAACACAAATACCATAAATTAGTACAGATCAGGAAAACAGCTGCAGAATGTAAAACCATTTTTGTTAAGTGTGGAGTTCAGGCTGTGCTTGGTCACTTTCTGCAGCAGGGGTACAGTCTAACCTGCATGAGCATTTTTTCTTGTTTTTATTTAATTTCCCTGTCTTGAAATGAGCAAAATAATTTACTAGTTCTAAGCATAAAAATAATTTATGATGAATAGGCACTGAAATGTTATTCTGAAATGCAATTGAGATACTGCACAATCTTTCAGAATATTTCCCAGTTTAACATTCCTTGTAAGAGAACAGAAAAAAATTTTCTGTGTACTTCATGAAAGACAGTTCTAAAACTATAAAAAAGCACAAAATTTCATAGCCAAACCTTGTCTTCTGCAGTACTACACAGATCTTCCACTTTTTTTTTCTTCAGATGGCTGAATGATGTTGCTACCCCCAAAATTTCAACAAACCACTGATGTGTTAGGCACATTATTTTCTCCCCTTGTTTTCTATCAGTCCTGTCTGTTCTGCTCTTCATATATTTCCACACTGTCTTATTTCTAAACAATTACCTTGTGTTCATTGACAATTCATGTTGCAGTACTATTTTTCTGAAAAGATTATCAGTAGTAGCCCATCAGATTTCTGTATACACAGAAATGTCTGTATATGAAGAGGGAAAAATATCTTTCTGCTATTTATTATATTTGTATATAGTGCAGTGCAGAGTGGCACAGACTTAATTTAGAGCTAACATGTAAGAAGGACAAATAGCCATCATATTTTGTTCAGATCTAACCTGTATACCACTGCACAATACTGTATGTTGTGTGGGCTTACTGATAATCACCAGTCACCTGACAGTTCCATGTTTGGTATTTACTGTTAATAAGCTCAAATACCTTTGTAATCCTTTAGTTTCTGAGGCACATGTACATTTTCCCTACAAATTATCTCTAGTCCTGTCCCATCCTTTCAGGTTTCCCAGCACAGCAGTTCAGTTTGCACAACTACATCATCGCTTTGTCTTTTGATTTGATATTCTCATCTCCTTATTTACTTGGGGAAAAAAAAATTAGCATTTGTCAATTAGAAGTTCTTGTAAACAGGCTAGGCCCCAAAAGAGACACATACTCTATAGATAGCATGCAGCACATTCGGTCTTGTGTTTAATCTTTCATGAGCTCAGCAATCATAGGCAAGTCACTAATCTCTCTGCTTTCCTTTCTGCACTGGTGAAACAGTTGTGGTAAGAATATTCAATGATGGTTTTGATGTCTTTGCTAAGGTTTGTGAAACTTTTGAATGTGCTGGAAGTTTTGCACAAGTCACTCTATGGTTGAACCTGAGGAGTTAATTACTTGAATGGGATAGCAAAGCAGAGTAAAATTAATAGAAACCAAGACATGACTTATATTCTGTATCAGTTAAAAACTTCATTATAAAAGTTCAGGCAATGTAGTGACTAAGGCAGTTTAGATAGCATCAGGGACCAGCTCCACAGCTGATTTGTGGTAGCGTGTCCCTGACAACATCTGTATCTTTGTCCCTTCCCTCTTGCAGTATCGGTCAGGGCGGGATCCTCATCGAGGCTCAGACAATGTTTCCAATAAGTCTTCTGACAGCGATGTCAGCGATGTCTCCGCTGTGTCACGGACAAGCAGCGCTTCACGTTTCAGCAGCACAAGCTACATGTCCGTCCAGTCAGAGCGTCCACGAGGAAACAAGAAAATAAGGTGAGCACAGTGAGCTGTAGTGCCAGCTACAGCTGTGTAATTTGTGTAACTGAACACTTATTGATATGTGTATTTGAAATTAACATTTTACCTAGAAAGAAATTTGCAGGGAATTTCCAAAATACTGGTTTAAACTTCTTTTGCATTTTATGCTTTTTGAAGTCTTCATGGAATTTGTTTTTAGCCAAGTTTTGTCATCTTGGGTTATGTAACATACACTAAAATAACAAAGATATGCTGTCAGCAAGCATTAGACACACTTAGATTTGCACATTCTGAAAACCGTTTTGTAAAATAATATGGCTGAAAACACAGTTTAACTGGAAAACTTGTGCCAGCAGAGGTATCTTGTTTTTCTTTTAAATAGAGCTGCTGAACTTTGATAGACCTGTTCAATTTATTTAATACTTAAGCTAGTCCAATTTGGGTGTACACTGTAAGTGTACAACTCTTGAACTGCTCTTCAACAAGACATACATTGTGTATCTGTGACCAAACTACAGTATTTTCTTTGCCTACACCTTGTGTGCACTCACAGGAGTTTTGGCTTTCACTTGGTGCACAAGTGAAAGATAATTTTTCTCGAAGGTGCAACCCACCTCCATCACCTATATTAATTCTCAGAAAATTGTCCTCTTGAGAGAAATAGTGTGTTTGAAAAAATTGTTTAAGTGTCTGCTTATATGAGCATTGTTAGGACCATATTGTTTCTTTCACACAGTTCTGTATACATTTCTAAATGTGATGTGTTACCATGCTTATTTGTGTTGCTTATTTGAAGAAGGACTTACTTTCTCCTAGGAAAATGTTCTTAGAGCCTAGAAAGATCTCTAGTTTAGGCTGGACCCTTAGCCAGCATGATTTACCTTATGACAGTTTCCATCCTTTAGTTTTTATTTCATTTCTTTTGCGTTTCCTTTTTTCATGCATGCTCTTCTCCATGACCTTAACTTTAATTTATTGTTTTCTTTTTTTTCTTTTTGCATGCCTTTTTCAATTTTTGTTGACCTCAGAAGGACAAGGGATATAGAGGGAAAAAAAGAGGGAGGGCTGGAAGGGGATGAACAAGATGAAGTATTTCCTGAGGAGGAAGAAAAAGTGGAGGAGGAGGAGGAGGCAAAAGCAAAGGAGCAAGAAATTAATGAAAAAGGGGAAGGGCAAGAGGTGACAGAAAACTGTGATAAGGAGGAGATCAAAGAATCAGGGCATGATGAAAAAGCTCAAGAAGACCAAACTGAGGAAGGGAAAGAGGATGACAGGTAAAATATACTTCTGTTTCTATAGACCTATTTTTCTGCCTCCAAGACCCTATTTGTCTTTCCTTTTTATTTCTTTTGCTTGCTTATTGTCTATGCTCTCTGCAGCTTTTTTTTTGTTTTGCTTTGCTTTCTGTCATGATGCTTTCATATTTAATTAAGTTTCACTCTCAACTTCAATGAGCTTGTTATGCATACCAAATGATGCAGCACACCAACTTGACTCATTAATATGCATGCAACTACAGCATACTATTTTTTAAATTGGTTTAGACCACAATTTGGGTTTGACAATAATAAACACTAGGAATTGTAGAATTCCTTCTTGTATTTCATACTTGAATTATCATTTCAGGAAAAATCTTTTGTTGAGTGATATCTCATCAATATCAAAATTACTTTCATTTATGACCATACTAAAGAAGACAATATAGATTTTTAATTTTTTTTACTAATCCTCTTTGGATAGGTTGATAAACTGTGCATAGTGGTTGACAATCAGTGTCAAAGCAGAGTCTTCCTATTTTCTTTCATTTGTTCACTGTGAATAACAGTCAAGCATTGCTGTATGGTGGAGTGGTCATGCACCTCTGCTGCTGTATTGTATCCAGAAACCTTTCAGTACAACTGGCTCTGGTTTTATTAGATAATATTCTAGAATTATACATTTTACAATGAGTCTTTAAAACCATATAAATTTATGACATTTTGTATTGCAAAATCCATGTAAATTGCATTGAGAGAAATACAATATTCCTTCTTTATTCATTAGCAAAAAATGAGTTTCAGATTTGATGAATATTCTTGAAATCCTTCTCACACAAGAATGGCAGAAAATCTCAGAAAAATATACTTTCTTTTATCTTGCCAATTCTAAACTACCTCTAAATAACTTATGCCTGTCAAACTCTGCTCATATACATTAAGGTAAGCACAGAGCACTCTATGGAAATCCACTCTCTTTCTTTTCTACCAGCTTACATGTGTACATGCGGAGGCTGCTCATAATCACTTCATCATCAAAAATTACCTTGTTAAGGATAAGTCATACCTCTTGATATTACTGTTCTTATATATTTTATGAGTAATGGTAATAGTCACACTAAGGTCTTCAATCTGCTGAGATCATAGTTGGGTTCAATGTAACTTAAATGACCATGAAGACAGATACCCATCACAATTCATCCCATGACTATTTTAAAGAGTACCTCAGCACAATAAACTGCATTAGCTTTTGGAGCACTGGAGCACATTAAATCAATTCATCTTTTTTGGCAGAAGTAGCTGCAACATCAGATTTTTCTTCATTAAACCTTGTAAAACTAAACCTTGGCATATGGTTGACCTATAGGGAAATCATAATTGCATTCCTTCTTGGCAACACATGTTAGTAAACAGAAAGCATCACTCAAGCTTTGCTGTTGAGTATTCAGTATTCACAGTTCCCTGACATTATTTCTTACTCCAGCTCCCTGATGATATCAGGGACAAAGAATAATAATTAGCAATTTTTACTGCAGGTAGTCTGTTTAAGACTTCCCTAAATCTTAACCTCCATTTTTTTAAATATCAATCCTAAGCATTAATTCTGATACTCACAGTAGTTTTATCGTGTGAGTACACAGCAATTATAATCACAGAGCACGATTTCACTGTTGAAATACTGTAGAAAAACACAATCTCTGTTCCAAGCACATAGTTCTTCTGTGCTTCCCCTTTTGAACTCATACGTTATTTCATGATATAGACTCTAAGAGATGTTCCACGTGACAGAAGATAGTTACAACACTGGATTAGGGACATCTTGACAATAGAGAATGCTAAGGGGAGATTGGACCAAAGAAAACAAGATGGCTTTGTGAATGTTTCTAGAGAGGTCTTTTCATGCATTCCAGGCAATGAGGAGAAAACATGAGGTGCTTACTAAAAATATGTCAAGTGGATGATGGGGCAAGTCTGATGAGCAGCAGGAGGTGATCTTTCAGTCTTGAATGAGAGAAAATAAATATGACAAGAAACAAATGCTAAAATACTGGGAAAAAAAGATGAACTATGTAGAACTGGATAAAAGAGAGTATAACTTTTTACTGATGCATGGAGAAAGATGGCACAGCCAAATAGGAAGGCTATGAAACTTAATCTTTCTGCCAGTATCCTAGAAGGGGTTATTGGATAAATTGTCAGGGCTGGAGAAAAGAACTGCAGTAGCTGTCATTTGAAATGGTGAGAATGGACAAAGCAATTATCTGTGTGGGTGGGCAGAAAGGGTAGAAATGTGAGATGCAAAGCATGTGCAAGTCACAAAGTTTTGCTGTGTATTGGAAGGAACCAGTAACATCCCATGTGAAGAAAGGAAGTGAATGCTAAAGGACAGTAGAAGGACTAGAGCTGATTAAGTAGGAAGATGATACAATCAAGAAAGGAGAATTTGTAGTGGAAAAAGTCATCTGGGATGTAATTTTGTAGAGTCACTTAAAGATTCAAGAAACAGAGTGCAGGATATAGTTTTAAGTAATGTATTTCTTCAGACACAAACCCTTCCTAATGCTTCATGCCCTTTGTTCCCCTACCATTGTTAGGTAAAAAGATTAATTTCAAATCCACTTTTTATTTCTTTTTTTGTATCATTCAATTAAAAAAAATCTTTAAAAATTTAATTTTTAGGTTTTAAAACTGATTTTTTTAATGAAAAACTTAGTTTTTCATTAAAATTTAATTTTAGTATTGCAGATTTTATGGGTCTTCCACTGTGATTGCAGTTATTAACTGGTAAATGCAGTGTTTTGTAAAACTGTAAGAAAAAGCATGTCAATTCAATTTGGGCAAGCTCCTTCACAGGGGTGGAAGCAATATTCTGATTAAAATATCAAAACCTGTGCAAAAGACAACATCAAGAATCCGTTTTCCACATGTATGTGCTCTTTGGTTTCTTAAAGATGTTTCAGAATGATTCCAATTACTACTTTAACTATATTACTGCATGAAAGAAGTTAATTGTGCCTAACCTTTCTAGCAAAAAAGGCTGTATGTTTGAAGAGAAAACTGCAGCCTGAGACTCTTTCCCCATTGCATGATTGGTCTTCTAGGAAAATTGCAGTACAGGTAGTCTGTGCTCCCAATAGCTATAGATAAAAATATAGATAAATAGATAAATACATAAAGTTCACACGCTGTCATTTCTACCATGGAGGGGGAGAGAACTTGGGCCCAGTTATGTCAATGTTCTTGTAATTTTTCAGGGAAAACAGGCCAGCATGCACTGTCCTGCATTTCTCAACCAAGTGTGTTGGTCTAACAATTTTTTCATCATTACAACAAAGTGACCTTGCCATTCCTGGGATGAGAATGGCAGGTTGCAGTGCAATACTTTTCAACTGCAAAACATTTCATTATTCAGGCAGTTTGGGGTGGATGTCATGCACTGGGTCCTTGAGCAAAACCCAGCAACTTTATCTTGTGTCTCTCTAACATAACTCTTCTGCATACTTATGACTAGATTGCCAGTCTGTGTATCTAAAATCAAAGGACCTAAAATAAAGATTTTTTCAGTAAGATTTTGTTAGTATTATTGGGCTGGGTTGAGTCTGTTACTAGTTTATGACAAATTCTTGCCCCATTTGAAGCATAGATTCAAAGCCACTACTTTTTATGCAAGTTTTTTAACTTTAGTATTCTACAGCAAGGCAAATCTTCAAAAGCTATAAATTCATATAGCTAGTGAGTCTCTACCAATATGGTCAATAA